CCCCAGTGCCTGGCCCAAGCTCCTTTTTCATCCATCAGCCACTGACTTCCTAGCTTTTTATTGCTTTTTCCCACCCATTCGTTGCCTTTCCTGTCTCCTCAAACCTGGTCTTCTTGGCCTATTTTGGCTACTTTGCTGCCTCACACTCCTTGAGTCATTTCAGCCAACCCAGTGCCTTCCCCTGTGTCCAGCCATTACAAGGCACTGAGCATGGCTCTCTCTGAGCCTTGTGGCACTGTGCCTCCTGTCCACAGACCTTTGGGAGGTCCCCTTTGAGGAAATCCTGGACCTGCAGTGGGTGGGCTCAGGGGCCCAGGGTGCTGTCTTCCTGGGGCGCTTCCATGGGGAGGAGGTGGCTGTGAAGAAGGTACGGGACCTGAAGGAGACTGACATCAAGCACCTGCGAAAGCTGAAGCACCCCAACATTATCACCTTCAAGTAAGGTCCAGGGCAGGGGCTGGGGATTCCGTGCTGAGGGCAGGGACCGACCTGGGCAGCAGGGATCTACCCTCACCCTTTATGAAAGAGACATCCAAATGGCATGGGTGGGAATGGGGGTTCCAGGTATAATCAAGTGAATGCTGGGCTGGCTTTATACCACTGTGTTTGGCCTCCAGGGGTGTATGCACCCAGGCTCCCTGCTACTGCATCCTCATGGAGTTCTGCGCCCAGGGCCAGCTGTATGAAGTTCTGCGGGCTGGCCGCCCTGTCACCCCATCCTTGCTTGTTGACTGGTCCATGGGCATCGCCGGTGGTATGAACTATCTGCACCTGCACAAGATTATCCATAGAGACCTTAAGTCCCCCAAGTGAGTACACAAGCAAGCAGGGAGAAGCTGATGTGCATGGTTGCCTGTAGATGACCCCACCCACGTTAGTGTGGCCATCTTCCTGCTTCCAGACCCTGTCCTAAGTCCATGTGGCTATCTTAGAAACCCCTCCCAGTGACAATTTTATTTTGGGAGGGCTATGGTGAGCCCCCTGCCTCTGGGTGTCCCAAATGCTTAAAACAGAAAGGTAGAGTTGCTGTAGATAGATGAAGTGTGTGCAGGAGCCTGGACCTTAGCTGACTACACTCTTTACCAGCATGCTTATCACGTACGATGATGTGGTGAAGATCTCCGATTTTGGCACTTCCAAGGAACTGAGTGACAAGAGCACCAAGATGTCCTTTGCAGGGACAGTAGCCTGGATGGCTCCTGAAGTGATTCGCAACGAGCCTGTGTCTGAGAAGGTCGACATCTGGTGAGGACCAAGCTGAGGATTGAGAATAGCAGATGGCTAGCACAGGGAGGGAGGGAGGGTGGCTCAAGGGTCTGAGTGCAAGTGAAATGAGTCCGTAGCAAACAGGTCCTCTGGAGGGAGTACCTCCCATGTGATGTCTCCTCTTAACCCAGGTCCTTTGGTGTCGTGCTGTGGGAACTACTGACTGGTGAGATCCCCTACAAAGATGTAGATTCTTCAGCCATTATCTGGGGTGTGGGAAGCAACAGTCTCCATCTGCCTGTGCCCTCCAGCTGTCCAGATGGCTTCAAAATCTTGCTTCGCCAGTGCTGGTAAGGATGGCCTGGCAAAGCCGGGAAGCAAAGGGGTGTTGTGATGCTTAGCACCTAGAACCCAGGCATCCAGACCCAGAATCCTGAACAGGAAAAGGGGAACAGAGCTTCTAGGTATGGCTCCAAGACCTCAGGATTGAGTGTGAATTCAGGGAACTACAATGTAGAAATAAAGTGGACTGACCAGTAATCTGCAGAGGTGCATTAGATTCAAAGACAGAATTCGTGTGACTTTGGGCAAGCACTGTCCCCATTTCTTTAGGAGTAGAATAGGGATAACAGTATCTGCTCCATAAGGTTGCTGTGAAGCACTTGTGAAGGGCTTACAGTGCCACCGAGCAGGGTTGGTTGATCCTCAAGTAGACTGCCTAAGAATGCAGGAGGGAAGAGCCCAGGATCGTTGGTTCCAAACCAGTCTTGAAGGAAGGTTGAGATTTCTTATCTTGTTTAAGGATTTCCCAAAGTATATTTCTTTTAGTGGAGTCACTCAGAAAAAGGTTGGCAAACAAGTTGAAAAACAGAATTAAATAGGTTTCCTTACTGCAGTACTTTGATATGCTAAGAGTATAAACATTTCCTGGAGATAACTGACCAGGGATGGGATTTCTTTTGTCACAGAGTATATTCTAGGATTGGATTTTCCAGGACATCCTTTGGGGAAAGGATGCTCTAGTTCCTTTCTGGTCCTCCTTGAAATTCATTCCTCTCCCCTAACTCCATTCCCTCCAGGAACAGCAAACCACGAAATCGTCCATCATTCCGACAGATCCTGCTGCATCTGGACATCGCCTCAGCAGATGTCCTCTCCACGCCCCAAGAGACTTACTTTAAGTCCCAGGTGTGCTGTGGGTAGGAAAATGAACACCTCAGCTCCCTGTTTGAGGCGATGCCCTGAGGGGAGGCTGGGAAGAGGGGTTGATTGGGCTAGAAAAGATGAACTCTTGGAGGGCTGAGACCGCAGTCTTGGTCAGTTGTGTGCCTGCTACTTCCAACACACCATTTGCAGCAGTGCAGGCACCTGCAGAGGGTTTCCAAAGGTCTGCTGGGTAAAGGAATCTCACTCAACCCTCGTCTCTCCACCCCCAGGCAGAGTGGCGGGAAGAGGTAAAGCTGCACTTTGAAAAAATTAAGTCAGAAGGGACTTGTCTGCACCGCCTAGAAGAGGAGCTGGTGATGCGGAGGAGGGAGGAGCTCAGGTGTGTGCCTGTGTCTGGAAAGGTGATTTCACCAACAGGGACTGTGGACCAGTTCCCAGAGAATGGGGTAAATTATGGCACCGGGCAAAGCCATCTCACCTCCAGGACCCTTCTGTCCATTTCAGACACGCTTTAGACATCAGGGAACATTATGAACGTAAGCTGGAGAGAGCCAACAATCTGTACATGGAACTTAATGCACTTATGTTACAGCTGGAGCTCAAGGAGCGGGAGCTCCTCAGGTAACCATATGGCCTTTATGCACTCAATCCTCCCTTCATGGAGCTGTGCCTGATTCAGATCCTACTAAGCCTGGGTGCCCCTGAGTGGTGTCTGTCTTTAGAAGGGAGCAAGCTTTGGAGCGGAGGTGCCCAGGTCTGCTGAAGTCACACCCTTCCAGAGGCCTCCTGCATGGGAATACAATGGAGAAGCTCATCAAGAAGAGGAATGTCCCACAGAAGCTGTCACCCCACAGCAAAAGGTGGGATTAAAGTGCCAAGGTTCGAGAATGGCAAGGGGGATGCTGAAGAAGCAGGGGTAGGAATCAAGAATGCTATAAAGACTGGTACTTAGATGGGGAGAGATACTGCCTTGTACTACCCAAGGTTAAGAAGTGCCCTCAGGTGATTATCTCCAACTTGTACTTTCCCTCTCCCACCAGGCCGGATATCCTCAAGACGGAGTCTTTGCTACCAAAACTAGATGCAGCCCTGAGTGGGGTGGGTCTTCCTGGGTGTCCTAAGGGTCCCCCCTCACCAGGACGGAGTCGCCGTGGCAAGACCCGTCATCGCAAGGCCAGCGCCAAGGGCAGCTGTGGGGACCTGCCTGGGCTTCGTGCAGCTGTGCCACCCCATGAACCTGGGGGACCAGGGGTGCTAGGAGGGGGACCCTTAGCCTGGGACGCCTGCCCTCCAGCCCTCCGTGGGCTCCACCATGACCTCCTATTACGAAAGATGTCCTCATCGTCCCCCGATCTGTTGTCAGCAGCACTGGGAGCCCGGGGCCGGGGTGCCACAGGGGTAGCTGGGGATCCTGGCTCACCACCTCCAGCCCGAGGTGACACTCCCCCAAGCGAGGGCTCAGCACCTGGCTCCACCAGCCCAGATTCACCTGGGGGAGCAAAAGGGGAGCCACCTCCACCAGTAGGACCTGGTGACAGTGTTGGGCTACTGGGAACTGGAAGGGAAGGTACGGCAGGACGGGGAGGAAGCCGGGCTGGGTCCCAGCACTTGACCCCAGCTGCACTGCTGTACAGGGCTGCTGTCACCCGAAGTCAGGTAAAGTATGGAATGGTTCCTGAGCCCTTCCCCTCCCTTTCCTTGTTCTCCCTGGGGAGCAAGTCCATAATTCACCTCCCATATTAGGTTCTTGTTTTAAGCCATTCCCTATTTAATCCTATATTCCCTTCTCCTGGGCCCCACTTTTGACCACAGTCCAACTCATCTATCCTGCAGAAACGTGGCATCTCCTCAGAGGAAGAGGAAGGAGAAGTGGACAGTGAAGTAGAACTGACATCAAGCCAGAGGTGAGTAATGCAATACAGGAGATAATGGCATTCTTTTGCTTCCTGGGTTGCAAGCCACAGTTAAGCTGCAGCCTGTCTCTGCAACATATAGGTGGCCTCAGGGCCTGAACATGCGCCAGTCACTATCCACCTTCAGCTCAGAGAATCCATCAGATGGGGAGGAAGGCACAGCTAGTGAGCCTTCCCCTACTGGCACACCTGAAGTTGGCAGTACCAACACAGATGAGCGGCCAGATGAGCGGTCTGACGACATGTGCTCCCAGGGTTCAGAAATCCCACTGGACCCACTTGCTTCAGAGGTGGTTCCTGGCCCTGAACCCAGCTCCTTGTCCATCCAACACCAGAACCTACTCAGAAGGGAGCAGGTGAGTCACAGAAACAGCTATAGGGGACAAGGAGCAGATACCTGGTCATTTGAGAGCTACTGGGGAGATGCAGAGGTCAGAAAGATAGGTATTTAGCCTGCAAGTCATTCAACATCTGAGCCTGTTTCCAATACAAAAGAGCAAAAATTCACATGGTGGAATATGTGCATAGAACTAACATGAAAAGTTTAATAGGTTTGCTTGTAAGTTGCAGCTAGGGAGGAATCCTGAAATCAGAAGGTACTGTCTTAGAGAATGGCCTGAGCTATGAAATTTGGACGCAGTAAAATCAATAAGCTATTAAAAAGACAGTAAAGGATCCTGAAGGAATCTACTTGTACCGCCAATAGACATGCTAAGCCTCAAACCTCATTGCCTGTCTCTTTACAGGGTCCTCCCAATTCTGAGGACTCAGACTGTGACAGCACTGAACTGGACAACTCCAACAGTGGTGAAGCCTTGCAGCCCCCAGCCTCCCTTCCTCCATGAAAGCCACTCTTACTCTTGTACATAGAGAAATATTTATATAAATAATATATATGCGCCACGTAATCAACAGAGAAAGACAGGGCTATCCCAGCCTCGTCAGACTCAAGGGAGACTGACCCCTGACCAATTCACCTGATACACTCTAGGGACACCAGTAGCTGTGGAAATGAAGGACAAGGACTGCCCTAGAGCTATGGGTAAGGGCAAACTGGCCCCTTCCTGCTTCACCTCATTATGTTCAGCAAGCAGTCAGGCAACAGAAAAGCCAGACTTGCCTGCCATGTTCCTCTATACTCTTTCTCCCAAATCCCAGGGGAAAAGGAGAGGGAACCACTTAACTGCACTTTTTTGTTTTCCATTTACTGTTTACACATTTTGCACTTGGGAGGAGGGAGGCTAAAGCTGGGTCCTCCCCTCTGAGGTTTCTCAGGTGGCAATGTAACTAATTTCTTTGTCCCTCCATTTCTCTGCCCAAGCCCTGGCTTAGGGTCTAGGGGGAGGTTAGGAGATTGTGAAAGCATGTGATGGCTCAAGCTGAAGAACTGGGGTGTTGTTTAAGTCCCTGCTTTTATCTTGGTGCTTGATTGGGGTGGGGACTGTCATATTGTAACCCCTGTGAAAAACCTTGAAATATAACCACTCCATGCAGGCCCAGCTGTTGAGGGTTTTCTTGATGAACAAATGGGGCAGCATACACGGTTAAGTAGAGCCTTGGGCTACAGATTTCTAAGGACTCTGGATGAATTACTTCCTCCTTTTATGCTTTTCTAACATCAAAGTTCCAACCTTCTAAATTTATCTGCATAAATGGGAGCAGGTAACTTGAAAGAAGGGCAGGTCTTAAAACACCCACTCTTAATATGGAGAGAAGACAGTAAATGAAGTTACTAAAAACCACACACTAAAAGCTTTAGATTGGAAAAGGACAGACATTCCCAGCAACTTCAATCCCAGTCAAATATCCAACTGCTTCCATGTGAATGTCATGTGCATCCCTCTCCACACCCTCCAGTGAATGTGTTTGCCTATTCTTTGCAGACTAGTCCTAGGAAAATGTAACCCCCAATCTTTGGTACCAAGGGCACAGTCAGCTTGCTATAGCTATTAGGTCATTCCGCAATGTAGGCTCAAGGGAAATCAGATCAAGGGCTATAAAAAAAGATGGAGTGGTAAAACAGAAGAAAACATCTTGACTGGAATAAAGGCTTATTATATTCAAAACCCAAGCAGGGTCCTTGTCCTTTGAGGATAAAAGGTGCAAAAAATAAAGCAAGACAACAGGAATAAAACCCACATGAATCACTGTGGCATCCAGTTTCTATTCACAAAGAAAAAGCTCCAGTCCATCTTTTAATTTTTTTTTGAAAAATTCCTGACATTACAGAACTAAACTGAAATGTATTAATATTCCACTCTTACATTTCCATGACAAACAGAAAAAAAAATTCATGAGCCAAAAAAAAAAAAAAAAAAACGGAGAAGCTTATAAAACTAAATATGGATCTCAGCATTAACAGCTGAACAGAGAAAGGAATTAAAACGCTTTTAATTAAAAAATCACGAGTGGATGATAAAGTGTGTAGAAACTGAAAATTTACAAACTATTTAAAACCTGGAATCGCTGACTGTTCAGAAACTACACAGATGGATCATGGGTGGTGGTGAACAGCAGAAAGGGATTATGGATGAATCTGCATTGTTCTAGCTGCTCCCCATGCCACCCGTCTCCGAAGAAAGCCTGTAAACAAAACAAGAACTCCAAGTTAGTTTCCTCAGTGCCCAACTGCACCTCACCTCCGAAACTTTCAACCTGGTTAGTGAACCATGAAGAATACACAATCAGTGTTTTAATATCAAGAATAACATTTTAATATTTCTTAGCTTAACCAGTACCATGAATCTATAACCCACAACCTCTGCAATCCAAGCTTCCCAAAGGCAAATTACCCCCACGACCAAAGGAAACAGGACCTTGGACACCAATTGTGGGCATCCTTCAAACTATGTTCTTGAAAATCTTTGTAAGAAAATGTTAAACACTTTATGAAAATACACCATATACTGAAGCTTTCTCTTAAGGAGTCACAATACAGAAGTTTCTTTACTGCTGAACTTATTTTTGCTCCTCTTTAGATACTAATAGAACAGTTTAGGAAACAATCTGAAAATAGTTTCATGAAGCTAATACTGAGACATCTCAAACCTTTATTCTAGAACAGTCCTAGGTTTATCAATGTGAAGGCTATTACTAAGATAATAGTTTTAAGCACTAAAGGATGTCAAAGTATAAGTATGTATCAAGAATTATACTCAACTTACAGTTTGTAGGCCTATTTTTCGGGACTTAAAAGTGAAAGCCAAAATAATTTGTTTTGACAACTCCCTAGCTCACTGTAGAAGCTCCCAAATCTGTGGTCTTCTTAAGTCAAATTCTCCATCCAAACATACCTGGCTATGATACCTATCTTTCAAATAGATCATCTGAAGCCCCGGAATCCAATTTTGGGCTCTGAAGGAAAGGTATGTAGGCATTTGGCTTGCTTCACTGTATTAGGTAGCGAGCAAAACTTAGTTTCCATTTTGTATAAAACTAAATGTGTTACAACTCAAATTTCGGCTTATAAATTTATTTCATAGATTTTAAATTGACTGGCATAAATTAATTGTGGTATCTAGTCAAGGGAGCATGAATAATACTTTCCCATCTCTCTTCCACAACAATGCAAGCCAAAAGCTGGCCAGGAGAGGGAAGACAAATAAGGGCCAAGAATAGATGGGTCTTTCAACTACACACTGTTAAGTCAAAAATGGTATTTTCACCTTGACATAAAATGGAATATTTTATTCTTAAAGAGGGTAGATTCCTGCCAAGCCAAAATGGGATGGATAATCTAGGGTAACGTAAACAGGCCTCAAATTAACTGAAGGTTCAAGAAAGAACTGCTGGGAAGTTTAGATTTACAACCTAAAAAAATGAAGTTCATGTGAGAAGGTGGTGGAATTCTGGCACCAAAAAGCTCAGAAAAAACTGTGTAGAGGTAATAGGAAGGGAAAACCCAATCAGAAATATTATGTTAAGGACTCTTAGAAGAACCACACGGGGGAGCTATAACCTTTAAAAAAATTTAACACCGAGTACCCCTTAACCATCTGGCTTCCTTCCCAGCAACCTTTCTTTAGGGAGAACTCGTTAGGTAAAGAGGCCTTCTAATCAACCATTAAATAAAAACCAAGTCTTCAGGGGGAGACAGTATCAGTGAGATTAACTTCAAATAACAAAAGAGCTTACCTAAGAGAGCTGGACCACACAGTAAGGGAGCAAACTAACAGAAAAAAACCTGTCTGGACGATGAACTGAAGTTTGCTCCTCTAGTCCTTCATGCAGATTTGAGACATGTAACACTAATTCATAGGGCCCAATCTGGGACTGAGGGGCCACAATACCATGAAAATAATATGGTGTAACACTCATGGGCAATTAGTTTTTTTAAACACTATAAACCAAAGGGGTTGTGGGAAAAAGTCATCAGGAAAATCAAATCTCTCTACTGGTTCTCTAATGCCCTGGGAAGACCATTATAGTTTCATTACCCTGGCAATATGCATTCAGGTTGAATGGAAGCCTACCAGAGGTCTTTTGCCATTACACCTACAGCATTTCTACTCTTTCATGAAGAGAGAACTGTGGTCTTGGGATAAGAAAAATAATATGGCTTCAGGGAGATTAAGATTGAGTATAAGTACAAGTTGTTAGTCCTCACTAGTCACCCACATGATCTACAAATTTAAATTCTCCTTGGGCTTCTACTTTTCCAATCTGATAAAATGAGTAGATCAATGTGAAGATTCCTTCTAAATCTTAGTCTATAATTTTCTACTCCTAATAGAAGGATGACTGGATAGAATCCAGTCAAATTTTAGGGGATGTCACAGATTGGTTGTTCAAGATTTAGCCAATATCACAGTAAGAAGAGTTAATGCTAGTTCAGAGGAATACAGACAAGCTGGCAAACTTTGAGAATTTTCCCAACTGCCCCCCATTCTGGGTAAAGAAGTAACTTTTTTGTATGTATGACCTGTAAAAGATCCTCAGAGTAACCACTTGTCAGAGGAAGCAAGTCTGAGATGGGCATCCCATTACCTGCTGTTGGCAAAGTAAGGTATCTGAGAAGTCAGAGAAACTGTTCTTCACTAAGGAAGCTTGCCAATTATGACCCTCAGGATTTAATGTGCCACAGACCCATCTCCCTTTGTGGGGAATGACAAAGGACTACAAAATTTTAACCAGGGATACAAAAAAGCAGTCTTTATAAGACTCCCTAGTCCAGAAAGCCACATATCACAAGCTCCCACCCATTTACCCTTCACAGCACACGGTCAACTAAGGTTCTTACTGTGGCAACTTTATTACAGCTAGAAACACAAATCTGGCCAAGAAGGCCCAGTGATAACTTAACCATTAAATAAATTTTTAAAAAAAGGGTTATCGGAGAAGTTTTTATTCATTAACACAGAGCCTAACACATTGTTATATTGCAAGGCAGAATAAAGCTACAAAAAAGTAACAATGAGAAAGAGCAAGAACTGTGGCTCTAGATAAAGTATTCAACAGGTCAGACTCTGAAACAGGCACTCAGCTGAAATGGCCTAAACCTAAACATGGGTTACTATTGCCCCCACCCTCCACCCGTTATCCCTTGAAATAGTAAAAAGGAAATGTCACAAGCTCACAATTGTTTGGTTCTTACCAATGTTAACAAAGGAAAACAAAATGAACCAAGAATTACTTTGATGGGGTGCCTCAAGATATGCAATCAGTAGGGAGAGAATCTCTGTTTCTCGCCTTTCAGTTTGTTAGTTACACATGGCACCGCAGAGGTGGTGGTGGTGGTAGCTGAAGCCCCGGTACCCTTAGCAGCAGACACAACATTTAGAGCCAGGAGAGGGATGGGTTTCATGCCAAGCAGACTGGAGACACAAGGGGCGGTCGGAAGAGGGTTGGGGAGGCTGGAGGGTGCGTCGGAGGTCCCCGCTGTGGCGAGCGAGGGGGTGGTGGTGGAGGAGGAAGAAGAAGAAGAAGGGGTGGAGGGTTGAGAGAGGTTGATGCTGAGGTGATCAGGGATCGTGACGGAGGCTGCCTGGGAGGAGGGTTTAGCGTTTTCTAAACTGTAACAGAGGAAAAAAGGAACAAAAAAAAAAGGGTGGGTGGAAGGGAAGACCACAAAAGGGAAAAAGTACAGGACAAAAACCGCTTCAGTTATCAGTAAGTAAGTGCCTCTGGTTGCCAATTAGGAAGACCTAATACCAACTCATGACAAGCTATCTTTTAGTCTGTATCCCACCCTCTAAAAAGTAACTTTGCCAAATTCTATTCCACAGTGCTATTTAGAACTGCTACAGTAAAGAAAAAGCTTACAGACTGAGAAATCACACAGCACACATTACCATATATCTGACATTGTTCCAACCCAGAGATCAGAAAGGAATGATTTCAACCAGAAAATGAAAACACTCATCAATCTCCAAATAAGGAACAAATGTTTCACCCACAAATCACTTGCAAAGCTTTGGGATATTAACCCAAAGAAATTTCAAATTATTGTTTCTCCTCAATATGAAAGTTTGCTTCCATAACCACAGTAAACTAAGCAATA